TTTTATTAAGATTCCGACGGAATACTAATCTGTCGGAATATTTGGGATTTCCGAGGGAATATTCCGTCGGAAATTTTCGACGGATTTTATTTCCGACGGAATATTCCGTCGAATATTCCGTCAGAAGCCTATAGTTCCGAGGGAATTAAATTCAGTCGCAAGAATTCCGACGGATTTTCCGTCGTTACGTACCTTTTCCGACGGAATTTTCTGACAGACCCTAATTCCGTCGAAAAGTTCGAATTTTCTGACGGAATCTAGGTCCGTCGGAACGATTCCCTCGGAAAACGGGCTATTTCTAGTAGTGTTGGTTTGCATAGTCGAGCTTATTATCCATGTACCAGTGCTCTCCCTTGGTGTTCGCGCGAGACCGTCACCAGACCGGTAAGAGAGTTTGCTATTGCATTTTTGGGGTCGTCATACAGACATTTCATCCGATTGGACCTGTCATCCGATTTTCCGGTCCCACCGATCATACCTCGGTGGTACACCATTCGTAGAACAAGCGTAGAGGGTTGGGAAGCGTTGTACCATGACCGGATGCAGCAGTGGAATAACCTAGCTGCCTTTTAGTTTTTCACGCGTATACCTACCTTTTCTATGTAACCTTGTATTTTTATAGCTTTTTTTATTCCATTTATTTATTTTTCATATTCTAATTTTGACTAAATTTATATCTTGCATGCACACTAATTAGATCTTACGCGTTACAAACTAAAAAGATAATGTCAAAAAAAAAAAGTAAAATAATAATTTCAAATGTTACAAACTAAAAAGATAACGTCAAATTTTACAAACAACTATGATAATGTAAAAAATATTCTATAAATAAACTGCCCACAGATCAGTAATCACTCTGTGACGCCCACTGCCACTGCTCAAGGGCCCGTTCCAGATCATCAATAACAGCTCTGCCTGATGCAGTCGTCATGTTGTCCCTCTCCTCAAAAAGTCTGTATCCCAGCTGCATGATCTTTCCCATCCACTACACACAACAAAACACATGAAATTCAATAACGACGTATTATATATATAAAAAAAAACACAACAAATGTTTTATGAGACATACCGCATCCACGGCAGTGGGCGGTGGCACATCATCATCATCAGCGTCATCGCCGTGGAGGAGGTCTCTGATCAACCTCGGGTGCGAATACCGGTTGTACCATCCATGTAGAGCTGGTCACACATGGCAGTCACCCCAATTGGCGGCCGCTGCAGCTTCGCCGTCCATAGGCGGGCAACCATCGAAAACTGCTCCCACGTAGAAATCATGCTTCCTGGCCATTGGACGACGTACTCCTTCGACGACGCAGATCGGACCGCCTTACTAGGCCATGCTGGTGGAGGAGGAACAACTTGAACAAATCCAAGCTGGCGAAGACAGCGTTGCGGCATGTACGCCTCTACGATCTCACGATACTGAATCAATCCCGTGTAGAGGGTCCTGGGTACCCTATTACTAGGGTTCTTGCCGAAAGGCATCCAGTTCACCTGCACATTTTTTCAAATTAGTAAGATTTATATAATAAATGCATCAAACTATAAAAGTAGAAATAATTTAAACACTTTACCTCTAATGGGGACATCCCGTCAAGCAATAACCGTATCGATCACAGGCGGTTAATGTACTTCTTCTCGAACCGCGGACTCCACGCATAGGCACGTGGCTGCCCAATAGGAACCGGGTCGCGGTGTGGTCGAAACGCAGGATAATACTCGTATATCCAGGTCTGTAACAATGTCAGACATCCAGTGATACCTGTCGCATCAGCTCGACTCGAGAATCCTAACTAGCGATACATATATGCCAACGTAGCCGACCCCCAAGAAAACTGGCCTACTCTGTCGGGCTCACACGCGTCAACTATGTCGCGTGGCCTGAGCTTGTTTCCTCTCTTATCCGGAAACAAGGTACACCCGAGGAGAAGAAAAACATATGCAGCCACCTATGTGTCCTACGTCCTACGTGCAGTGGGGTGCAAACATCGCTGCAAAACAGTTGCGATCTTAACACCGCCGTGATCCCAAACACCAAGTGCCGCACCGCCAACAACTCCGCTAGTAAATCTGTCTGATCCGCATTAGTGACAATAGAAAGTCGATTTCCCTCTATGGGAATCCCAAGGATGGCCTCGACGTCATGCAACATGATCGCATCTCACCGAACGGAAGGTGGAAAGAGTTCGTATCCGGCTGCCATCGCTCAACGAAAGTCGTGATCAGCGTTAAGTCGATCCTTTCGTGCATGGTGACAAAAAGGTGACTCACTCTAGTGCCCCTCAATCGGCCGATATCTCGCTCTCCTCCGGCCAAGCATCAGCCCAATTACGCAAAAAGTTACAAGTCTTTTCCCGGGTTTGGCATTTCAAAATGCCAATATCCAAAGCCCTCTCCTGGTCCTCGCAGATACGGGTAGCGATGTGTCCTAGAAAGCTAGGAATCACACTTTCGTCTATAGGTCCCCTAGCCACCTTACCCCTCACCACCCAAGAATCATTAACGGCCCTCGACCGTTTTCTGCTAACTACAGACACAGTGGACGCAGATGATGTGCCAGATCTACTAACAAATCTACCATCTCTACCCTTACGCACATCTACCCTATGCGTCTCATACATATCATCAAGCCTCTGACTGAATAAACCGTAATTATCATATGGTCCACTCTGATCGTCCACATCCTCATCTGCATCCTCCTCCTCCTCCTCCTCCTCCTCCTCATCATCATCATCATCACCATCATCATCTTCATCATCCTCAGAATAGTGCACCCGTTCTCTGCGAGCCGAGGCCAAAATACCACGAGATCTTACGTGTCTGGGCCCCGAGCTCTCCATTGAGTAGATTGTACTTCTCATAACGTCCATACTCTTCCCCGCATCAGGTCGAAAATGCGATGCCTAACTCCAATTAAATAACGAAAAATAATAGCAATTGTTATTATTATTATTATTTATATTAATAATCTATTTTAAAAGTATCAACGACAAAAAATAGAAATACCTGACCAAAAAAATCAAATAAACAAAAAAAATACTAACAAATTGACATTAAAAAGAAAAGTACACAACATCGAATTTTTTTTAAAAAAATTAGAAAATACACAAAAAACAAAAAAAAAATACCAAAATATACCATATGAACATTAAATAAAGTAAATAAAAATAAATAAATAAAACAATATACAAATAATTGAAAAAAAATTATAAACATAAAAAAAAAACAAATTTGAAAAAAAAGTATAATTATAAACAAAACAATATAAACATAAACCAAAACAAAAACAAAAAAATATAAACAACAAACAAAAAATCAATAATACAAAGAAAAAACATAAAAAAAAAAGGAAACCAAAACAAAAAATAATAACCAAAAAATTGAAACAAAACCAAAAAAATAATAATCTAAAAAAAAAAATAAAGAACTGGAAAAAAATAAAAAAAATAATGAAAAAAAACCCAGAAAAAAAAAATTAATTAAAAAGTAAATGAAAAAAATAAAGGGGGGGGGCGTCTTACTCAGAAGCCAGAGCCACGGTGGCGGCGCCTGGGCAGGACGCCTAGGCGCCGCCACCGTGGCCCTGGTATCTGGGTAAGGCACCACCACCGTGGCTTCGCCGCCAACTCACATTTTTTTTTTTTTTTTTTTTTTTTTTTTTTTTGAAATTTAAAATTACCTTTCCACCGCGAGACCGCCTTTCCTCCGCCACCGGTGCCACCACTTTCTTGCCTTGCCGCCTCGACATTTTAAAAAAAAATTTAGAGAGAGAAAATGGGAGTAGAGAGAAGATGAGAGTGTGTTTTTTAATTTGTGGGCAAAAGTGTCATTTCACTTCAAATTTGTGGGCTTTATGTAGAGATTTGCGGGTGATGTTTAGCAGTTCACTGGGGGAGGGGGCGTAAGGGTTGTTTGATGTTGAGACTGATGACTCACTTCAAACACGTATGTATTGAATCAATCGTTAAAATCGCGTTTTCTTATAGTGTGAATCACAAAGACTTGAGCAATATTGAAAAATCACACTAAGTAAAAAGACTTGCACATTACATACGAAGTATATATATTTCGTATTATATATTAAAGTGAAGATTTGACTTTCAATTATTACCTTATACTATTTATCGAATTGATTCTCTTATTGTTCTCTCACCCATACAATAATTGATGAGAGAGTACATTAATCATAAATTATTATTGTTGCCAATTGCCACCAAGTCTAGTGCATGTCTCTCTCACTGGAACATGATTTTGTACCATGTTTCACTCAATATGAATAATGAATGTAACTATTTTTTTTTAAAAAAACAATAATGAATGTAAGTATAAACTGCAAGTATATTGTTATAATATTCTACGAGTACTCGAGTACTAATCAATCTACTTGTAATAGATTTAGTTTGATCGAAACATGTCCATTCTCATTATATTACCCTCTAAAATATTCATGAGGTATTTTATTTGCTCCAATATCACATCCATGTTCTAGCAACAATTGTTTAGTTGTTGTAAATGAAAGGCATAGTTGATGTCAAGGATATTCTCGAAAACTAAGTTTTTCAAGCCAAAACAATCATTTTCTCGTAGTGTATTTAGTACTCTTTCCGACTCTAAAAGTTTCCTACTTTGACTTTTTATGAGCAATCACCGTCTAAATAGAAAGAATGTTTTGAAACAAGGAAAGTACATACGCATTATTGTTGAACCACCAACTAAGTCCAAAGTATGTGTCTCTCAAATCAACCATAGAATGAAACATCCCAATCTTATAGTTGTGTGATGGAAAGAGGCCCCCCTCTAAGTTTATAAAGATACTAGCCTACCGACTGAGCTTCATAAAAACAAAAGACAGTGGCCTAGGTGCCTTAACAAATATCAGAAGGTGCCATATATATGCCCATACCAAAATAATTATACTTTTTTTTAACTTCTTACAATCTAGCTAGCAAGCTACTATATATAACATGGTTGTACAATCGTTGTATGAAAAATCGATCTTCTGTGCCGTGAAAAAAGAAATATTAGAAATTTGATGAGAATAGTAACATTTTTACTTAAATACTTTGTTAATAAATCCCTATTCTGACTAATCCCTAGTTAATTGTATGTACAAACTATATATTCAAGTCAGCAACCTAGCTACGTCATGCTTAATTGGTGGTACTAATCTGACTAAATGTGGTATATTGGTATGATACTAGTTTAGTTATCTCAAAGCAACATCATTAACATCGATAATTGATTCGAAAATGCGTTGTCCGGTTGCTAATATACGCTTAGGATCGAATTCCATCTTCATTTTGTAAAAATGGTCCCATTTGTCACCGAAATGGTTAATCCACTCTTGTTGTGTGGTGTAGTGAGGCAAGTATTGCTTAACACCAATCTTCGCCTCCTCACAAAACTTCAAAATCCTTCGGTTTTGATCGGTCAAGTACTCTAGGGTTTGTGTCTCTTCCCCATTCTCAAGTGCCGACCTAAGCAGGGCTACCAGGTAAAACACCTCTTCATTCGGTGTCACAACCGAAGTTCTTTCATCCCACCTACACCACAAACAATAAACATGGTTAAGATCTAGCTAGGAGAAGATCAATCAAACTTATTCAAATCAAACAAATGACAAACAACATATATACACTAGTTAATTAGAGTATTATTATTGCATTGATTTACATGTATAATTTGGATTAAGGGAGGAGGGACCCAAAAAGAGAAGGGTTGAAGGGTGGTTGGAAATTTGGAATTCAATGGTACAAAGAAAGGCAAATGTTCTTGGAATTATTACATGTTAATTAGAAAAAAGGACATGAAACCTTAGTGGGTCATATGAAGATCTTCTGACAAGAGAATCTCCTCAGGCAACTTGCAGAAACAGTGTTTGCCCTTTCTTACTTGTTGGGTTTCTATCAACAAAAAGAGCAGGCCTTTTCTTATCCTAACTGGCACTTGTTTCATCTAAATTAATTTTAAGTTGAATATATTAACTAATTAGTTGGGGCCTCTTGGTTTCTTGTTAATTAACAATCTCAAGCACCATTATTTCTTTTATTTGTTGTTAACCATTGGCTTCAATCTCCCTAAATTTGAATAGAACAAGACAAAAACTCCATCATTACACAGCTGGAGATTATTACGTAGTAGTTTATGTTGTACTAAGATAAAATCCAAAACTATAATAGTTAATTGAATCAATTCAATAACACTAAAAGGTTATTTAGTCGCAAAGAAAAGATAAGCTAGCTTTTACCCGTGTAAGATTGGTAACGCTAATTCACTTAACAAGCTAAGCAGCTAACACTAGACATATTTACCAGATACAGAGTAACAATATGTGAGCCTTAGTAACTAGTAAGGATCAAACATAATTTTAGATATTTCGACTCCCTATTAGTTGCCGAAGTGTTGGGTGATTAGCTTTGATATTATTGCTAGTGGAGTAGTGGCAAGTAGTTTAATTCAAGTGTGGAAAAGGGAAGCAAAATATAGAGTGACATAATAATGATGATATATAATCGTATTAATATGTAAGCAAATATGTAAGCAATCAGTGTCACAATGACAACATTGATTCCCTTACGATCATGTACATATATATACTTATATCAACATGTCACACACTCACACATACATACACAAAAAATATACCGTGAAAGAATCATGTAAGCCATTTTGCTTTGATGCTATCTTTGATTAGACATCAACAAAATCAAATTATGACTTCATTATGAGTCAATTCTCCAGTCAAATAATATCCACATGCATGCTACATGCAACATCAAAATCTATTGAACAATAATCTTATGAGGACGTTTTAAGTTAACAAGTTAACAACCAACTAACTGTATATACGAAGTAATAAGTTTTAAAATATCATAACACTTCATTGGAGTGGCGAATAAAATATATTTTTATTTGCGAAAAGGGTAGCTTTCGATAATAATTGAAGGAACGAATTTTAAACAAATTTACATAAAGAAGTTGACAAAGGGAAAGATTAAGCTTACTTGTGTTTGTTCATGGGATAGATGAGAATAGGTCCACTAGTTTTATTGCCCAAAATGCCCTTGAAAACTCCTTTGTCAAATTCATCAATCCTTGACTTAGGGACAAATAGGTTTAACCAAGGGTGTGGAACCTCCCACAAACCCTTGGACCGGAGTTTCAACTCGGCTTTGTGAACCCGGTCCAAGAAATCGACGTAGGGTAGATCGGTTGTGAATTCTGAAGCTGGTATAAAGTCAAGATTTTTCAATAATGCATCAATTTCCTGTTCAAAATAAAAATTAGCACGTAATTAGCAACTTAATTAAATTATTGTGTATGATACATGCAATACTTTATTATTATAAACAAACGTCACCAATAATTACAAGAATGTATGCATAACATCATAATGTAATTATAATACGAAAAATATAAGGTATTTAATTATATAGTATAAGTAAGAACACAAAAGCTGCTACCAAACAGTTGCTTTAGTGAAGATAAGTTTGATTCTTTCCAACTAATTTAATGATTTTATTAATACATGCCAACAATGACTGACTGACTGCCTAGATTGGGAATAATCTGGCAGGTGGACTGCTTAGATTTTGTGACGATTTAAGTAACAATTAAATTATTGTTTAATTAACTAATTATAAGCTATTAATAATACAAGTAAAAGAACCTTCTTCTCAATCTTACACTCAAAACTGCCCTATTTCTTTTGGTTGCACTAGTCGTTTTTACTCTACTCCGGTAACATAAAGGAGCCACCGGAACCTTCTCAGTCACGGATTAACACGGATTTTATTGACCACTCAAAACAGCCGCGGAAGCAATATACTTCCTCCGTTCTTTTATACTTGACATGTTTTGACTTTTACACTATTCACCACCCCTCGTTTGACCGTCTTTTGTGAATTATATATAAGCAAAAACATATTTATGTGGGATGTTTTTAAATTCATCTTAATAAGTACTATCATAATATATAACTTTTATAATTTTTACTAATGTAGATTTAAAGTTATTGCTCGTTAAAGATTTGCATTGACAAGCGTGATAAAAGAAACAGATCAAGTAAAAAAGAACGGAGGAAGTATAGGTTACTAATAAATTCTTATGGTTAGGAAACAATGCACTTAAAATGCTTAAAAGCTAAGGTATGGAAGCACTGACGGTCCATTCTAGGAAGAAAGTTAGGAGAATAATTTACAAGCATAAAAGAAAGTTTCAACTTCAAAAGAGAATTAAGATTCCTATGAGAATGAAATTAAAAACAATTTTTTGATGAATTAAAGTGATCTTGTCACAATTTTAAGAAATCTTTAGAGATTTATAACTCAAAAAATTGAGTTCAATTAAACTTTAAATCTTTCTTGGTGTGGCTGTGGTATCTTCTCACATGCATGCAGCCAAAGAAAGATGAAAGTAACCTAAGCTAAGTAAAAATAAAATTAATAAAATAAAGGAATCTTATGAAAAATGGTGATATTTATAGATCTTATATATTAGCCAGTTTCACTTTATCTTTAATTACTTTATTTTGTGAATTTATATTTTTGATAACCTAACTTCTGATCTCGATTGAAGGACTATAAAGTTTTTAAAAGGAGAAAATTATAAACATATTTTTGTTGAAATTACAACATATTTTTGTTGTAATTTTTTTTCAAATCATCCATATTGTTTCTTCTATAGACTTGCAACCTTAGTTTGTTGAGTGTACGTCACTAGATTGATTAATTCATATGGGTTGAGTATAATTCATTAGGTAGGAATACTTCTTACGGTAATTGCTAGATTAGATTGCATTTTTTTTTTAACTTAATGGACAGTGTATAATTCACAAAATTATTACTACTCTTACATGCTATTTTTATCTAAATAAATCAAGATGAAATTTGAAAGTAAACATACAACATTGAAAGGATATAATTCATTAATTATGTCATAAATTTAAAATAATTTTTAACAGATACATACAGATTCATTCATAATTATGTCATAAATGTAAAAGTATTTTGAGAAACACGTACATATCAACTCATAATTATGTTATAATTTTAAAATATTTTAAAGAAATATGTACATATTGAGTATATTTAATGTGCATATATAGCCTTAAAAATGACAATATATTTATGCGTCAATTTTGACCATATTAAGAATAAAGACCAAAAATAAGACTGTATACTTCAACAGCTGCCTAATTAGTGTCCCAATTAGTTAGCCATCAATTGCCAACTAGCAAGACCAACATGGCAACATTATATGGATAAAATCATAAAATGTCTCTTCATGCCATGCACGTTAGTATATGTGTGTAAAACTAGTGGCACATGTTGTCTATATAATATAACGGCACACTCAAAATATTCAATCACATCAATCATAAGAAATTCAATCAAATCAATCAATTAATACTAACTAATTAATGACCAATATTTTGTTTTTAACTATTTGACCAATAACTAACAATATTAGAACCAATATATTTCTTGATAACGCCGGGCAAAGAAATTTAACACCATTACAGTAATAAATATATAGATGAGATTTAATCACGTGATAAAAAAGAAAAGTTTACCTGATCAACAGATTTGGAAGAATCGAAGTAGTTCTTGGTGATCTCCAAGCAATATAAGACATCTCCATTATTAGAGGCACCAAGGGAGGAAATCTTGACGGGGTTTTTCGGTGAGAAAAATGAGGACCTCCAATTATTAATTAAACCTTCATCAACAATAACAAAACCTTCCACATAATCAAATTTTTGACTACTTGGTTTGTCATGCAACGATATTAGGTACTCTTGATCCTTAGTAAATGCCGTAAAATTGGAGTATAACACCCTTATCCAGCTCACCTACAAATCATAGAAAAAGGGTTAATTAATAAGTAGTGCTTATTACTGTAATTAAGCAATAATTCATTATAAAAATACAAAAAATATTGCAAGGTTTGATTGAATTAGTATAGTAAAATGTGTTTTTTTTTTTTTTTCTTTCGGTGCTGTCGTATAATTTGTTTTACTTTTAGGGAGAATTTGACATTGGGCTTAGTTTAAGCGGCAAAATATTAACCCTTCCCTTTTGAGTAACTAACAAATGGTGTCCCACTTTCATTATGTCAACTGGCATTTGCAAACACCTCACCTTTACAAAAATATTATTATAATTTGTTAATCAATTTCTAGTACACTTTATAATTATCAATCTTTATTCACCAAATTATTAGTTCTCATCATATTATCGACTCGAATTACGCTATTAATGTGAGAATTAATTTACAGAGGACGGGAAATGAGTGAAATGTATACCCGTTGTGGAGCAGGTTCAAGGGCGATTCTAGCACGAGTGATGATACCAAATTGGCCAAGACCTCCTAACACGGCATGAAACAACTCCGAATTCATTTTCTCGGAACATGTCTTAAGCTCTCCTTTTCCTATGCAAAAAAAGAATAAAAAAGGGTCACATTTCTTGCACAATTCCATGCAAAAAATAGAGTAAAAAGAAATTAAAAAAGTGTGAAAACAACGTGAAAAAATGAAACAACTATTATAAAGTTAATCATAACTACAAAAAAAAAAAAAAAAAAAAAAAAAAAAAACACAATAAAAATGAAAAATTATAGGAGTAATTAAATTTTACCTGTAACAACATCAAGCTCAAAGACGTTACTAATTTGAGGTCCAAAATTAAAAGCTTGACCGCTAATTCCAGCATTAGACAACGTTCCACCAACCGTTAGATACAAATAATCAGTCCATGATCTAGGTGCGAGTCCATACTCTAATGTAGACCTCAGCACATCCACCCATAACTCCCCTCCCCACACATCAACATACTCTTCTCTGACATTCACTTTGGGCCCACTCGGCCCATTTCTACCATCCCTCCTTCTCCCCATCTCTACCACCACCCCGTCCGCCGTGTGTGCCTGCCCGTTGATGGAATGTCCATGTCCACGGGCAGACACGGTAAACCCTGACGTTGATGTGGCGGTCTTAACAAGGTCCGCCACGTCAACGTCGGACCTCGGACGGAACACAGCTACGGGTTCCGTCCGAGTAAGGCGTCCGAAATCCACGGACGCCGACTCCACCTCATCCGTGCTGAGATGGAGTAACTCGGTGGGGCCTAAAGTCGTTAGCCCCACCGTAACTATCAATCTGTATATTGCTATTGCAATCAAAAATAACTTTGTTGCCATTTTTTTTTCCTCTCTATTTTTTAGTTTTGTTAGATGTTGTAATTTTTGGAGTTGGTTTAAGAAAGGAGTGTTTAAGAGGGGTATATATAAAGGAGAAGAAAAGAAGAGAAAATCTGTTGGCGTAGGATAATAACACTTTAAAGATTTAGGCAACGAAACAACATGCAGAGATTCTGATATAGGATTGAGAGATACGAGGAAGATGAGGAGAGAGAAAATAATAATGGGTCAGATTTTTCAGAAGGTTTGTTTGTTTTTCTGTTTTTTTTTTTTTTTTTTTTTTTTTTAACGGGAAGAGAAGTTCATAAATGAAATGGGCTAGATTAAAAATGGGGGTGTTGGTAGTGAATATATACATAGGACAGAAGAGGTGACACGTGGAGAGTCACATGTTGGGGAGGAAGGGGGGACACGTGGAAGGAAGGAAAGAGAATGAAGAGAGGGGAGTGGGGTCCAGAGATTGGATACGGAGGATCTAAAGTGGGGTCACATGCAGAGTAGGAGTTCACGTGGGAGAGTGGTGTGTTAAAATGACAGACTTAAGAGAAAGGAGGGCCGTAGTGTACAAGTCGACCAACATGAATGAAAATATGAAATGATGTTTCAAACAAGTTATAACTTAGAACTTAGGTCCTGTTCTTTTGAACTTCTGGGCAGAGTTGAACAGAATAGAGCAGAATAGATTTTAGCAAAATAGAACAGCTTTCAGCAGAGTAGAGCAGAACAACTTAAAAGAACAGGGTTTTAGAAGTGTTATGTATGTATCTACTTTGAAATAAGGGGTAATCAACAAGAAGATTTTGATGTTTGGATGCAATTTACATGTATATTATATCTGTACATGTTGGGGGAGGATCGAATCAAGTGGAGTGTTCTTGGGGGGTACGAATATTTATAGTCATCGTCCGGCCCTATCCTCTAGAAGTAATAGTCAGTATATATACCTGTATTTACATAGTATTGTTTTAGGATGTTTGGAAATATATTATGATGATTTTAATAGTATAGTATTGTACTATATATGAATATTGAAATTTATCTTAAATTGTTAGAGCTATTGGAACTAGGAATTTAAAATCGAATCTGATTTTGTATAGAATTAAATTAATATAACCCTTATCTAAACCGATTAAAATTAGATTTACAACCTACTTGTATCATTTGGTAGCAAGTTAATTGTAAATTAATGTAATTAACTAACACATCTCACCTAATTAAATAGATAGATCGAGCTAAATAGATAAAGCTATTTATGAACTACTTCATATGTTGTTAGGCTTACTTGCTTATATAAGTTAGAAACACATTTCATATTGCTTACGTCTATTGGGGCTGTTCGGCTCGGTATTATTTTTGGAAGAGTTATATTATGTATAGTGAATACATTTCGTTTGGTATATATATAATGATATGAAAAGTTGAGTTACAATGGTTAAATATCTATAATTTTAATAGAGGTTGATATGTTCAAATATTAACTCCCGTGTCTTTTTTGATCCAAGATCTGCTATTGCATCTTGATGCATCATTGTATGATGACATATGATAAACAAACAAAAAAAATGATTATTATCTGTAAAAATCATTCTATGTAGCATATAAGCTAATTTTATATACTTGAATACACCAAAAAAAAAAAAAAAAAAAAGAAGAAGAAAGAATTAAAAGTCTAAATAAATAGATGTTCGAAGATTATAGCTAATCTAGAGTTTTATATTATATATTGAAATGTGGATACTCCAAAGATGCTTCAATGTGATCATATAATTAAATGATCAATAAACTAATTAATAATTAGTAGTTACACAAGGTAGAAGACACTAAATTATATTGATGATGTTTGGACTGTGAATGAAATCATAAAATCTAGCTTTAGATTATAAGGCGGCCAAAATTAGTAATTTGATTGTAAATTTGTCAATATAACACCCTTATTAGTGGGGGCTACACAATTAGTTTAATGCCGTACCAAACTACCAACGATGCATATAATTTGTTACAGACTTTTTTACTAGTTGCATTTGACTATTATATCAAACGTGTGCCGTGTAACATTTCTTGCGCGACTAAAAAGGAAAAAAAATTAAAAGTTTGGTCCCAATAATTTTTATGCTTTGACCGCGGTTTTATATCATATGAATATATGATGGAGGTCAAATGTGAACACAACATATATTATTGACTTTATAAGTGGACATTTACCAAGTCCAAATTTATTTGCACGAACTCATATTTATTTAGTTATTTATTTTACGTGTTTGCTTTTTTAGGATACCAAAGTTCACTTTTTGCATTGCATGGTGGCTTTCATGGGAAATCATAGTGAAGTTTCATTATTTGGGCACTAATTATTATTTGGTTGACTTACCTTTTTATTGACTTAGATATACATGTAAATGAATGTGTATGTTGCTTTTAATGTGACTTAGCATAGTAATACACGTTTAATTAACTTGGTTGTGAAATTCAACCAATTAGAGTAAAACATTTAGAGTCTATATTAGAAAAAAAAATGTATGTGTGGTTAATCTTTCGGGTTGGTAGCCATCATTGGAGAGATAAGGTGAGAATTGTCATAAACGCATTACATGCTAGCTTAGAGAGATTAGACCTGATTATTAGTCGGTCGGGACTCGGCAAAAAAGTTGGTCCATTTCTGGCCAAAGCTTCGGCTAACCCCAGACCTAAGTATTATAACCCCAAAAATATATGCCAAAATCTAGTAATTCGAGCCATTTTTAGGACGGGCGAAAATTAAACTAAAAATAAAATTAAGTCGTTAACCCCCCTCCTCCAATTTCTTTTTTCTTTTTTTTTTTCCCTCAAATTGGGGCAAATTTCAGTTGGGGCAAATTTTGATCAGGTCTAAGAAAGATACTCAATCTTTTCATATACATCAATTTAGAAAAATGTGTGCAAAATTATTAAGTTCAAAGATGACGTATAAGTTAAGTTGATACTCCATATATCATTAAGGCTTTATTCTCAACCTTCACTTAAAATAAGGTGTTCTGGCCTAACTTTTTTTAGTTTGATATGACCTTGTCTGAATTAAGGCTTGGTGCTCATGCATGCTTGTAAATTTCATGGCCAATAACTGTTGTCAAGTTCAATCAATAACTACTAATATAAGTTTTGCTAAGTTATAAATACAAAATTTCATACAATTTCATGTTCTGATAGGGCTAATATAAGTACGATAAGATAAATGAAATCAAAGTGTACATATATCCAAATGACACAACAATAGACGAGTCAAGTGCTTTCGATAACCTTGCAATAATTGAGCAAACTGACCAGTATTCTAGACATTTACATTAGCAATAAATAAATTCCTATAATGCTTGTTAGCTAGGACTTATCTAAGAAAATTGTGACACCTTATCCAAACCTTTTTCCTGGAAAATGTAATGGCAATGAAAATAACAGTTCATTTGAAATAGTCTTTCAAATTCGTAAGACTAACATTTGACAAATCAGTCAACCTCGTGAGCCCCTCTTAGAAATTTGGTTGATCTTGTTTTAACAACTTTGAAATTTTCTACGAGTATATATATAATAATAATAATTAAACTTGGTTTAACATATTCAAGTCCATTTAAATATTAATAAAATAAATATTATTATTCTTGTTGCACTAGCACCATTTGATGTTTGTTATTGATCTTGATGAACACTTGATGTAGTTAAATATCCAAGTTAGGGTGCCTTAATTAATAAGAGAAAGAGTTTCAAAAGATAAATAATTGGTTAAAAAAAATTACCAGTTAATATTTTAAGAAAACAAACTTACAATACTATTGAAGAAATTATATGTACATAGCTTTTCCAAAATTAAGTACTTTGATTTTAACTTATTTGCAAAATGAATTATTAAAGTGTTTGAGACATCGAGGCAAACCTAAATATGAATAAAGTTACCTATGCTTAAATTGCTCTTGTTACAAGGTAATTTACATGGGCATCATTCACTCTTTGTTATCATCAAGAATGCTATCAAAACACCCAATTAAAAACAAGCTAAGATAATACTTTGTATATATATAATTTAATTTAGGTCCTTAACTTCACATTGCAAGCCTTAGCTTCTTGTTTTCGACTATATATGTATGTATATGGACTCACAAAACAAGCTGGGATTATGTAGTAATGACCCAAGTATCAACATAACTGCTTACGTTAAAGTAAAAGATCTTAAAATAAAGATCCCATAAGAAAGACTTGACCTAGTGCGGGTATTAATTGTGTTGGATGGTCTAGCTCCGATCCATGATCTGATCACTTAAATGTTAGAGATCAAATCCAACGTACCATATGCTATACGAAAGATATTTACATAGTACAAATTAAACTTTAGCAATAGTATGAATTGAACCCAATCTATCTAGGTTCATGCTTGCTAGATGAATTGTTTAGACATATATAATAAGCAATCCCTTCTTTGTTGCAACCTTGAACATTATCCACATGACAAGAGATAGGGAAAAGAGAATATAGCATGACATAGAGAATATATGGTTTTTTTCTTTATCTCCACCCTCATCCTAAGAATTTGACCCATATGGTTGATAGTTTGGCTTTCTTGAGGGCCATAACCATTTAATCTTTCTATTTTTTTTTTTTTTTTTTTTTTTTTGGCAACAATAATGAACTATGCACATAAACATAGATATTGGTCATAAATGCACATGACCAACTTTGTAGCAATAATTCAAAGGAATATATAATTTCCCATACATCTAAATAATTTGTCTACCTTTTAAAGAAAATTATTACTAAAAATGGAAAATTTACCCCTTGGAAAGTTCAAAAGAGGAAAGAAGATGAAGATTTATAAGATCTTAAGTAATTGGGCCACAGTTGGAAGTGTATCAATCATGGGTCATAGCAAGGATGCTATTGTCTCAAAATTGTTACTTGTATGGGAGAGTTCAACAGGCTTTATCATCTTTTCTCGTCAGTTTTTGTTAGCTATGAAGCTTTATGTGTGGCTTAGCTTTTATCTACACTTAGTTTTAGGTTTTTACGAAAGAATATTACATGGATATTATTGTATGTTACATGCAAAGATGCAATAGCATAGCATCTTCCTGTCTTGGCTCCTCGTTCTTTAATTATCATCAATTGAATTCGAGATCTACGGATCTTTGGTCGCTACTTTCTCTATCTCCATTTATCTGCCCCATAGACAACAATACGAGTATGTGTTTTGTTAAGATTTGGACCATAATTTTGCAAGTAAATGAGACATTTTAATTTTGCCTTTACTTTTGTGAGTGTATGCAAGTGAGGTAAATGATGGGAATATGGAATTATACAATAAAAAGGGTAATATTTAAGAGATGACCCAACATAAAATATCATGTCTCAAGATGTGGGTTTTTTTTTTTTTTTTTTTTTTTTTTTTTTTTTTTTTTTTTTTTGTGATGGGGTGAAATTTAGATTGAAGGGTATATAAAATGTTGAATTTTATATGTTTGGGTAAAAGTAAAGGCTAAAGGACAATAATTTGTGCATGTATATACCCAAATTAAAATCTCTACAAACTTATAAATTAATCTACTGAAATACTTCATAACTTTCATGCTTTATTTTTTTTTTTTTTTTTTGTTTTTTTTTTTTTTTGTTTTTTTTGTTTTTTTTTAAATAAAATGATGCTAATAGGCGAAGCTCATTTTCACGCTTTAGGTATAACCTCGAAAATTTGTCAATAAAGCTAAGTGATCTGATAAGACATCCATATTCATAAATTGACATGATTATAACTATTGCCAAACTAATAACATGCATTTGCTTATCATT